TATTGTAACACAATGAGTGGGTACAGTTTCTTTCAGAGAGCCTCCAGAGCTTTCAATGACTACCCTCATCTCCCTAAAGTTCTTGTTCTTTTCACTGTTAGGTCTGTCAACTTTTGCATTCACCATTTTTCTTTATTACACTATTGTTGTGTTATTGTTTTGCTGTTTTTAAATGTTTCTTATTTAGAACTCGGATGATGTAATTAAACTCTATACTTACTTTGATAATTCTGTTCATTAACATGAGCACCAGTACTGTTCTAGCCAGCTTGTTTTAGTTTCACCATCTATGATTTCTTTCTCATTTTAGCATTTGCTTGTTGGTCGTTTTTATTTTTGTCTTGCTGGTCTCGCTTTTGTTCAGTTTTTTCTCAAAATAAAAAGTTGGTGATATGTGCTTTGTCTAATATCATAGGCAGATCGATTTAGGATTTGAACTTTATAAGTTCGAGTTTGAGATTATACCACAGCCCGTTCGGGTTTGAAATCAATTTTTTTCATTTAATATTAGTGCCGGCTACATAATTATATAAATTTGCCTGCAATTAAGACCTGAATAGAGTGGAATACATGGATGATTCATGTCGCTGACTCTAATTAATTTGGGACCAATTGATTTATTAATTTGCTTTGGACTTGCAGTGGTGGAGGACTAGCTGCAGTATGTCATACTGCATATGCTGATGCAGGTCAGAATGATGTTAAGAAGAAGAAAGTGGTAGTGCTTGGAACAGGCTGGGCCGGAACAAGTTTCCTTAAGAATTTGAAAGACCCCTCATATTCTGTTCAGGTCGTGTCTCCTCGCAACTATTTTGCCTTCACTCCTCTGTTACCTAGTGTTACCTGTGGCACAGTTGAAGCAAGGAGCATTGTAGAACCAATTCGTAATATTGTCAAAAAGGTATAGATATTCGTTGTCTTTTTAAAGCCAAGCAAAATCCTACTCAAAGTGATGTCTTTGTTGCATATTTAGTGGGCGTTTGGACATAATTTTTGTGAAATTCCGGAAAAAAGTGAAAAAAAAATTTCTAGTGAAAATAGTATTTGAAAATTAGAGTTGTGTTTGGACATGAATACAATTTGGAGCTGTTTT